TCTCTACAATTAAAACTCCGTCAAAGGAACCCTCCCAAAGCCTGCAAAGGCCCAAACAGTAGTGGCCGAAACTTCTTTCAAATCCTGAAGATACATTGTAGCCGGCCTTGTTGAGGGCGGGGTGAAATGGCAAGCGGTCCATCGCGGGGGATTGGAGTAAACCGACTCGAACGCGGAGAGCATCATTGTCAATTGCCTGCCTGATCTTGGGCTCAACTTGCAAGTGTTCAAGTTGTATACATGCCATGCACAGACCGAGCTGTTTGGCACAGCTACGGCCGAATGGGAGATCTATACAAGCGGACAGCCAAGCAAAGCTTCGAAACCAGAAGAAAAGTTTCCATGGGCGATGAGCTTTTGGCGCTTGTACCTGATTCTGCCCGGCGCACTTGCTCAGACTGGTGAGATAGGGAGACTTGGCTTCTTGCGGCGGTATATACCTTAGATTACAGTAGGATCCCTATTATGATTATATATATATATATGTATAATATATATATATATATATATATATATATATATATTCATATTCCTTAAGTAAGGGATATTGGAGTCTGCAGTAGTCCTCTTCTGGGTGCATGCTCGAGCTGCACTGTCAGGTTCCTGCCCAGGCAAGTGGATGCACTCGAGGGATGCCAATTCCTCTACAACTTCCGCTGCTGCAACTACGACTATGTTGGCTTGGGCCGATCGGGTGGAAGTAACGGGACGGTCACCGCAAGGCTGACGATACTCCCGGGCACGAATGCAACCGAAGGCTCGGCGCCCAGAGAGTCGCAGCGTCAAAGTGATGCGTTGCGGTATGGTCCTGTCGGCAAATATGTCTCAAAAGCGTTCAACTTCCGTGCGTTATGACTCAAGAACATCGGCTTGGTTACCGAAATCGTGTCCCTGAGGTGGGTGGGGTGATGGTATACTTGTTCACATGTGTTTCGTGTCATTGGAGTTTGGCTATGAGCCCACTGCACCACGCACCGCGCGCAGACGTCCGGAAAGGTTTCGTTAGCACAGAAGACGAGATCCGCTTTTCCGGAATGCGAAATTCGCTGCCGGCTATCTTGATATCCAGACAGCTGGGCAAATGTACTCTCATGAGCATCTCCGGTATAGGATGTGTCCCACGTTCTTATGGACGCGTCCCACAGGAGTTGACTTCGACTTCTACCAGGATTCCGTGACGTGGCAGGATGGCGATGTGGATCCCAAGGCGATGCTGATTGTGATATACGACAATAACGTCTATGACCTCACAAAAGCTTCGAGCCTGTGGTTTATGAACCTGCGGCGAGATATCTCTTGATTTAAGTTTTCAGGCTGTTTCATTTGGATGCTGTCATACCTGCGTGTGCAATTCGCCCGATGCCTCAGGCCGAGCCATCATCAACACCCAAGGTTTTGTCTGACCAGAGTGTGCATGCAGCCACAACAATCAACAATCTGACACTGGACGCAATTCTGCATCAAACCTTACAGAGGTTCCTAGCGAAACACCGCGCAACTTCAAGCCAGCCCCACGTCCTACAGCCGATCAATTGGCCCGTCGAAGCTCATTCATGCTTCAACAGACCACGATTGTTTCCAAACTCGTCCTTGGAATTACAACCTGAACTTGATTTACGGACGAGAGCTTGTCATGGAGGCAACAAGTAGTTGCCTGTGGCTCCATTCCTGCTGGCATGACTTGATTTTTTAGGTGTGGTAGGCACTGGTACGCCCGAGAAAGGAATCCTGTTATTGTCTCATACCTGTGCAGCACCCCGCCCTTCGGCAGAAGCTTCTGCAGCGTAGTGTACGACTGTCTAACGTTTCGAATGGGTTGAATCTGAAGCGAAGACTGCGACTGTATACCTTCACCATCGCTGAAATAGTAAAAGGAATAGTAAGCTTAAAACAGTAAAAATAAAAACAATAATAGCAGTAACAGTCATAGTAATAGTTAGAGAATATTATGCGCCCTCCTAGAGGATGGTCTTCTCTGGTACTCCAAGCCTCATCTCGACTCAGGTTGTGCAGCTCGGGATCGATGCAGACCCGGCCATTGCCAGCTCCACTTCCGAGACAACAGATTCATGGCGGCGGTTTGTAGGGTTTGTGGGTTTAGGGGTTTAGGGTTTGTGGGTTCAGGGATTTAGGGGTCCAGGGTTTAGGGGTTTAGGGTCTAGGGGTTTAGGATTTAGGGTTGTCTCGAATCTTGTGCAAGGCAATCCACAGCAACAGCCCAAGCAGGTAGCCTCGGGGTTACGGCCAACATCTGCATAGCAACCACGCATCCCTTCAATTTCATCGCGGGATGCTTCCCTTCTTGGTATTGGCATGAACCTAGCCCCACCCGCATGCAAAAGCAATCTTCTCAGGCATATATCCGGGACGACAACGATGGCGGAACCGTCGAGATCTCACCCACGGCGATTGTTATAGATGAGCGATTTGGGAACATGGAGTGCCTTATGTGGGCTGAGCGCTCGGGACCAGTGGCCAGTGGAAAAACAGAGCTCACCGTTGAGTACACAACTTGCCCGGAGATAGTTCCAGAGCGTAATCGCGCAGGCCCCAATGACTTTTGGAGTTTGCCACTTACTGGCCCGCTGGTGTGGGAAGATGGTGAGACAGGCAAAAGGTGTGTACTCCGTAACCTGGGGTTTCAAGCCGCGGTTGACCTGGTGTGGCCCGAATGCTGCACTGGGGCTAACTCGAGCAACAATACACTGCTCTTCGTGGTAAACCCGGATGCCGAGGAAGAAGCGGAGGAAAGAGTGTGCTTTAAAGCCTCGCTGTCTGACAACAGCACAGCGACGCTGCCGGCAGCCAGCATGCTCCAGAACATTATTATCAACGACGTCAATCTTATGGAGGAGCTGAAGTTGAACTGCACCAGAGGCTTGGATTGTCTTCTGGACGTTTCTAAGACGTCTATCGTGGGTGGA